GTCATCTTCCCACAGGATGCATTCAGTTTACTTGCATATTCCGATCCCTGGAGCAGCCCTGTTGGAAATCAGCTTGACCCCATACAAAGAGAACCAGTGTGCTCTGTGCTGAATAGTGCAATACTAGGTAAGTGTGGCTGCTGGCTGCCCAGGGGGCTCGGGGTGCCTCCCCCTCGTCCCACACAGGTGGCCCTGCTGCTCCACCATAACGATAGCAGTGTAGGGCACACTCTTCTGGGAAGAGAGGGATAGTTTTGGAAGATCTGTAAAATAACAGGTATTTGTCTGCTGTTGTAGTTTGGAGCAAAAATGGGCCTGTTCAGTAATGGTGCTGTGCACAGTCACTTTGCTGCTCCTGCTTTGTGTCTTGCTCTAAGAGCAAACTCTGCCAGTGAATGATTTAAGTAGTTTAAATGTCAAGTGTTCAGTGTATTGTTATGAAATACATAAAAATATGTTCAGGTATTTTAACTGCCACTGTGATTCTCTTTCAGAGACTCACAATCTGCCAAAGCAACCCCCGCTTGCCCTCGCCATGGGACAGGCGTCACAGTGTCTAGGATTGATGGCCCGGTCAGGAATTGGCTCCTGTGCGTTCGCCACAGTGGAAGACTACCTACACTAGCTATGCATTTTGAGCGTCTGAAAGGTGTTGTGGCATATTCAACATGGAAAGTAGACCAGCTCTGCTGACTGGAATTTGGAATTTTAATTATGTACTAAGGACAAGTCTGTCGCTTTATGTTGCTTCCTAGTTTACAGCATGATGCAAATGATTTCTAACTTAGTGTTAGGAGAAGATTTCCATCTTTAAACCTCTTAGACAACTAAGAGTTGAAAATATCACTGGTAACGTCAGACATCCAAATTGACAAGTACCAATCCTTTGAACGATTGTCCAAAAACAAACCAAAAATCCTGCTACCTTGTGGTGGGACGGAAGAATAGAAAACGTGGATGTATTAGCATGTGGGTGATGTAAAACGTCAAGCAGGATGACTTGCCAACCTCCACCCCCATTGTTACATAGTTCAATCAGTGTAATTTGCAAAATGCAAATGGTTTGGATATATAGTGTTGATGGGAAGAAATGATATTTTTTAATGTGTACTGTAAAACTTGAATTACTCAGGAGCTGAGTGAATATGTTTGTTGCTACTTACAATCCCAACCTGTTGATCTTAGTAGTTTTTTGTTTTAACATGGTCTTTTCAACTTTGTTTCCTTGTTTAACTACAGACAGCTTCTGTTGTGTAGGCTCACCAGTTTAACTGTTGTATTATAACAGTATTACATGTCAACACAGTGTGGTTATGACCTATTTATATAAAAACCAAATATTTAGTCAATTTACAGTCTTAATTTAATCTTTGTACACCTTGCATTTTTAAAAGTGCTTAAATAGTACTATATTGCAATAAAATGTAGTGATATCATAATTAACCAGCCATTAAAAACTTACGTCTACATCCACAGTAGCATGGACGTGTATGCTACATTGTCTTGTTCTAGAGCTCTGTCCTAGAACAGTGGTTCCTGTGGAGACCCGTGAGGGAGTGGCTCATCCCTCTAGCCAGGGCTGCCACTTCCCCTCGGGAGCTGGGCTGGTGTCAGTGAAAATCTTTGCTGTGTTCTTGCCACACAGTGAGCCTAGCTAACAGTGCAGGAAGCTTACTCAGGACTCCTTGCAGATGGGGAAAATCCCTTACTGCTGGAAAGTAATCATCAGGCTGGATAGAAGTGTCCTGTTGTGGGAGCTGATATAATGATTCTGCTGTTAGGGTACAACCGTTCCTTAGAGACACAAGGCAGTGAAGCAGCAGGAGTAACTGCCTGCTGTAAGGAATGCAGTATCTACAACAGCAGGTGCAACATTGCTCATCTTTATTCTCTGCAAAGGTATTGCCTCATGGAGGCAGCTCAGCAAGCCTGGTCCTAGCACCAGCTGTTCTACAACACTGGCCTGGCTGCTCTGTAGCTTCCCCAAGAACTTCTGAAAGGGGGAGAGAACATGAAGTCTGAGCAGGCACAGATTGGTGTCTGGAGCTGAAAGCAAAGTGATGATGAAGGGGGTAAAGAACACCTGTGTTGTGTTGAGATCAACTGTCGCTAGAAGTCCTTAGCAGCATTTTCTGAAAAACCTGTCTTCAGACTGCATTTTTGATCTGTGTTGCCAGCCAACGTTTCTTAAACCTTGCTGCTTTTTCCTTTTTATCTTGCCCTTAAAAAAAAAAAAAGGTGTTAGTTACTGCTTTTCTTAACCCATGTGCTGGAGAAGCAGCAATCCCTTAGCTGCTGCAGCATTTCAGAACAGAAGAACCACCTCAAACACTGATAAACTTTCTAAGGTGTCTCATATGCTCAGGTGCATTCCACTGGCCAGGAGTACCAGTTTGCACCAGGCTCCTCCAGGAGGGTGGGGGAATACAGTGGTGCTTTCAGTGATGCACAGATGGAAAGCAGGCCCTGCTTGCTAAGGATCAGTAGCTTTTCCCTCTGGTGTTCATGACGCTCACAGACTATGTGGGTGTCAGACTCTCTCCATCCATTATGGAAATGAGGAGAAATGGGTGCTATTTCCCTGTACTCACATAGATGTTCTGAGATCTTGGTATCCCTGCTTTTAAGTCTTGAGATGCATCTGAAATGCCTTCCAACAGCTCAGAGACTGGAGGCTGAAACAACAGCTACTGAAATACTGATTTCACTGAGCAGCCCTGGTTCTAGGACAAGAGCTGTCTCTTAACAGGTAATTTTTTTTTGACTTGTGTCTCATACACCATCCCCAGGGGTGTGCCCATGACCCACTGAGGCTGCAGTGCCCTGCTGTCCTTCCCTTATTCTCCAGGTGCTTGGAGTTAGAGGATCACAGGATACTCTAGCATGGAAACCCTGATTTTATTCAAGTGTACTTTTAGCCACATATGCATAAAATAATACCTACTCCGACTTTCTATACTCACCCCAAGACTTGTCCACAAACTGAACTGCAGCTTTTTTGACTGGGTCCTTCTTGTTTGCAAGAGAAAAAAATTCATTTGCTGAAATGGAGAAAAGTGTTAATCACCAAGTTTAAGCCAGATAAGGCTCGATGCAGACCCAGCCAAGCAGCAGTGCTTACCCTGTACCCGGTTGGTGTGTGGCCCATACAGCTGAGCATTTAGGAAGTCTTTGGCGAGCTGTTGGTGGAGGCCTGTTACATTGTGGTCTTTCAAGCACACAGCCACGTAGTTCCCTTTTGTCCTAGTCAAAGAGAGATGTAAAGCCCTGTAGCATTGTTACAGGATCCAGAACAACAGACACTGCTGTCAAGCTTTGCTGCTTGAGCACAGCAGCAGTCAATGATGGTTTCTGATACTCTGATGAGCTTTGTGGCAGTATTAATAAAAAGCTGGACCAATACTCTTAAGCTGTTGTCATATGCCTTTGTGTGCCCTGAGTAGTTTCCCTTGGGCAGCCTGAGCTCATCTTACCAGGAGCTAGGGCAATTACTCTCTAGGGCCAGTAGTGACAAAGAAATAAAGAGGAGAGAGAAAAACAGACTGAAATGCAGGAATTCGTTGTTCAACCACCCTACCTGTAGCAGCACACAACACAATGTGTACACCTGCGCTTACAACTGCCCAGCTATCTCACAGCAGTTACATATATATAATATGTAAAAATTACTTATATCATATATATACATATGCACACATAAATAAGCATTGCTAAACCAGGAGATACTGAAGATGCTTTTAGCACATAAAAAAGCTTTCAATCAGATGAGGGAGGGGGGAATATAAAGTGCAGAAGAGGGTACAGCCATACAGTGACAGAAGAGCTGCTGTGATGCCCCTTCCCACAGCAGGCAAAATCATCTCTTCCTACCTGGCACCCTTGCTCCTCTTGCCTTTCTTCTGCACTTTGACTTGGTCTTGCCTTTCGGCCTGGCCTTGGTCCAGCTCTACAGCCTCAGCTTCAAGTTCTTCACCTAGAGTAACTTGCAAGTGAAATTTCCCAAACATTACAAATCAAAACTGGTCAGTGAAATAGGAACAGGACTTGAGCAGTATTTTTCAGAAGCACTGACTAGGAAGAACAGCTGTAAGAAGGAGGGGAAGAAATATGCTCAGGGTAGTAACCCAAAGTACTGTTAGCCTGCTTTGCTCTTCCTTGGCATCAACAAAGTGGGATTCACCATGGGACAAAAAATTCAATGCAACGTAACAGCTATGGGTGACCCATAAAAGGAAATCCAGCTCTGGCTTTAGTCTTGCTTCATTCTCAGCTCATCTCTTTGTTATGCCAATACAACATATCTTTTTAAAATAAAAGCAAGAAAAAGTAGCAGTTACATCATACAGCAGTATGTGAGGTTTGGATGAGAGAACTGTTTAAATAAAGATTTTTTGTGAAGTATTTTGAAGTACAGATAAAGCAAAAACAGCAGTCATAAACACTCTAGATTCTTGCTTTTGTAATTCTGAGTTTGAAAAAAGTTCCTTAATATTCTACAGATGCTATTGAACTATAGTTTGATATGCAAAGTATTGAGGCAATTTAACAATTCTACCCAGGAATAGCCTTTATAACTTAAGTAAGGGCTAAATATTAATCCACCTTTGGTAATCCTTGCTTTTTCTGCTGTAACACCTGCCCATGATTTCCTTAAACACCTCAGGCTATTTAACTGAAATCACCATTCAGTAAGTGATTTCTGTAAAAGGTGTAAGAATTAGACTGAATCTGATTTCAGACTTTTCCTCAGATATTTCTTTTCCTGGGGAAAAGACAGTCTGTCTGGTCTGTTCAAGCTTAAGATTTGGAGAAGGTCTCTTCACCAGAGCTCCCCTCTGGAACAGGAATGAAATCCTGAAGTACCAGATGTGCACCTTGTTAGCAAAGCGAGCTGTAGCATACCTGGGTCATCTGCCACAGTCTGGGGAGGGTCATCTGCCACAGCGGGCCTGGAGAGCAAAGGGAAGGCCACAGGTTATTCTTCAATTCACACTCCTTCGTTTACCCAAAGGCACGGAACACCCCATTTCCAGTCCAGCCTCTCAAGCCAGGACCAGAAGGGGCTGCCCCACGGTGGGAGACAGGGAGATGGGGATCCCAGCACCCACCGCCGCCTCCCCTGGCCGCCTCACCGTGCGGACACATCCTGCAGCTCCTGAAGCTCTTGCAGCACGGCCTCGGGCAGCAGCTTGCGCTTCTGTGGGGGAGAGGGGAGTCAGGAAGGCAGGACACCGCCGGCACACACAGCCAGGGCCCGCCTGGAGCCCGGCGGGGGGAGCGCGGTACCTTCTGCTCCGCGAACAGCTCCTGGCGCCGCCGCCGCTTCTCCTTCAGCAGCTCCCGGTGCCTGCGGGGAGGCGCGAGTCACCGTCAGCATTCCATGGGGCGAGAGGGGGGATTACGGGCGGGAGTAAAGGGGCTGAACGAGGGCTTGGAGGGATGAAGGGGAATAAGGGGTTAAGGGTGGGATGAGGAGGGAGAAGGGGCCAGGGAAACATAAGAAGGGTGGTGGGGTAAGAAAGGAGATAAGGCGGGAGGGTGGAAGAGGACAAAGGGAAATAAGCAGGGATAAGGGAGGGAATAAGGGAAGGATAACAAGGGGTAAGAGGCGTGAAGGGGGGTTTGGAGCCATAAGCGAGAGGATAAGGTAAGGGGTGAAAGGGGAGAAGAGTGGGGCAAATCGGAGGGGTAAGAGGAGGGAAGCGCTGGCATGAGAGCCCCGGCGTGTCCGCACCTCCGGGCCGCCTCTCCCACGAGCTTCCGCTCGGCCTCGGCCGCCTCCCTCGCCACGCCGAAGGGCACCTCCTCCGGGGCCTCGTCCGCCTCATCTGAGGAGGAGGCCGGGCTGGGCAGCGCGGCGGGAGCCCTGAGCTTGCCCGCGGCCGCCGCCTTCGCCTTCTGCCGGCGCGCCATGTCCGCAGCCCCTGCGCCGCCCGCCCCGGAACCACTCCTCCCTTCCGCCGGGGAATGCCGAGCGCCGGAACACGGCCCTGCGCCTCCCGCCCCGCCCCGCCCCGCCCCGCGGGATGCGCGCACACACACAGCACATCGGAGGTGGCCCCGGCGCCGCCGCTTTATTGCCCTGAGTCCCGCCGCCGCCTCCGGCCCGCCCGCCCCGCGCTGGACCCGCCGGGCCGGGCCGCTCCCGGCGCTCCGGAGGTGATCCCGGGGCTCAGGAGATGATCTCCGTCTCGTGTCGCGCCAGCGCCGGCGGCAGTGTGGTCCCGCAGGGACCCGGGAAGTGGAACCTGGAAGGAAGCAGCAGGTTTAGGGCGCGGGCAGCCACCGGCTCATTCCTTCACCTGGCGAGTCTTGCAGGGGGACGGGAGGGAGGGAGGAAAGAGGAGGAGAAAAGACGGGTTTAGGCCTTGTGGGGCGTAGGGACAGACTTCGGCCTCACTCTTTAAACAATACGGTTTGTGTCTTCAGTGAAAATTCCACCATGGAAGGAGAATCCTCTTTTCTTAGTTATTAACAGAAACCTAATATTTCGTAAGCGCTTGGGGTAAAACTAGACCGTATTTCTGTCTAAACCCAGCATTTCAGCAGTTGGACGCAAGGGCTGGATGGAGGAGACTAAAGGCTGGTTGCCTGAGCAGCGTTACCTGAACCTGTTGGTGGCAGGAGTGGGTTCCATGTTGAATTCCGCGACTGGAACGCCTCTGGCCGAGACCTGCGGGGCGAACATGGCTGCGGGATACACCACGGACGAGGTCCCGACCTGCGGGTAACGGGACACAAGTCACAAGTGTAGCAGGACAGCACAGATCAAACCAACCCAGCCCCGAGGTGAGGGCCCTTCTCACAACACTCCATGTGCAATGAAGCCTGGGAGGTCCCTAGGGAAATTAAACTGAATCGGTAACTCTGATTAGTGTCACTGCAGATGTCACAGCTATTTAATTTAGTGTAACAATCAGGAAGTGTTTCTCTGGTGCAGCCCGAAGAAACTCGTTTGTAACTGCCGATGGGAAAAAGAATCCCAGAAACAAAATGGCACACTTTGTCTTCAGGAAAAAGAAAAACCCAACAAACATTCCTTCTGTTACTTGAGGTCATTCTGTAAATGGAAGACAACAGTCTAAGCAAGTGCTTTGGTTAGAGATCTGGAACTTACATGGCATGTAAATCACCTCGCAAAAAACCAGCACATTATAACTTAAAACTTTCTTTTTAAACTGAGCATCAAAATAATTGTATTTTTCACTGTTTGAGAAATTCGAATCATAGAATGGTTTGGATTGGAAGAGACGTTAAAGATCATCTCGTTCCAACCCCCTGCCATGGGCAGGGACACCTTCCACTAGACCAGGTTGCTCAGAGCCCCATCCAACCTGGCCTTGAACATTTCCAGGGATGGGGCATCCACAGCTTCTCTGGGCAACCTGTTCCAGTTTGTCACCACCTTCACAGTAAAGAATTTCCTCCTATATGTAATGTAAAACCACTCTCAGTTAAAAGCCATCACCCCTTGGTTCCTGATGAAGAGTCCCTCCTCTCTGGCTTCCTTGCAGGCCTCATTAGGTACTGGAAGGCTTCTCTAAGGTCTCCCAAGAGCCTTCCCTTCTCCAGGCTGAACAGCCCCACTCTCAGCCTCTCTTCATAGGGAAGGTGCTGCAGTACCCTTACCCACTTTGTGCCTGTCCTCTGGATTTGCTCCAACAATTCCATGTCCTTGTGCTGGGGCACCAGAACTGTACACAGTATTCCAGATAGGGTCTTACCAGAGCAGAGGGGGGAGTGAAATTCAACAGCCAAACGGCATTGTCTAATCTCTAACCTCTGTGTACCTGTTGACTTCTGAGTGGTCTGTGTACATTTTCAAACTGCAAGGTCTTTTAGTGTTTTGCACTGGACACCGGAGAGTCCCTCTGGGGCTTTTAGTTCCCTCAGGAAAGCACAGATGCATCTGCTTTACCCAGGAAGTGCCACATCCTTAGTGTGGCCTCCCTCTCTCAGAGGACAGGTAAGGAAAGCACCACTCACGACCAGACAGAGGTCACAAATATCCAGCTCCTTCTCCACTGCCGTGAGCACACCGGGATCCAGGGCCTCGCCGAACCACACGACGTGGGGCCGCAGGAGCCCATTGCAGCCGTCCTCCTCACACCTGTCCAGACACCACAAAGCGACAGTGTCACGCTGCTGACGGGCATTTCAGGCCGCAGAACAGCAAAGCAGTTCTCATTCTCCCTCGGGCAAGTCTTGCCTGCCACCATCCTCTCTCTTCCTTCACAGCCCTACCCACACCCTCCTCTACCACGTGCCTGACAGAAGGCAGCTCATTCCGTGCTACACATGTGCTGCATGATCCCATGGAAGGGGTTGCTGAACAGTTGTTCGGCACAGATACTTAATTGTGTCTTCCCCTTACTCAGCTCCTGAAATGCATGAAAGTTAAAAGTAGGCCTCTATCAGCTTTAACGAAGTGGCTAGCAGGGTTTTAAGGAGAAAATGAACCAAAAGACAGAAGCTAGCCTCTTTTTCCTTAGGAATCATGAAAAATGTGGTGGCTTTTTCCATCTGCAACTAGCTAAAGCAAAGCTTCAGGCAGTGTAAAAGAGCATAGTGGCACATTCTGTGCCTGCAAGGGACCCCAGCACAGTATCCCAGACTAGCAGTGGGTGGCGCCTGCAAAGTAACAGAACCTTTACTGCTGTAGCACTCACTTTCTTGTTGCAATTCTCCTACTACTTCACTTACTACAAAATAACTTGGGCACATTTCATCTTGGTGCTCAAGGACACAAACATGGGATGCCTTTAGCACCGTGGTAACTTCTACACACTCCTTGTCTGATGCCCCTGTAACTTTAGATTCAAATTTCCTGCAGCAGAGTTCCAGAGTTCTTTGTCTTTTGTGGAATGTCCTTCCAGAACAACATGAACAATAACATGAAGCTTTGAGATGCACAAAGCATGAAGAGGTAACAGCCCAAACAAAGTGGTCCATACGTACTGAGGAAGGTCTTCAACTGGAATTGCGGCATCATCTGTGTCAGGATCCGGAGCCCTGTAGTTACAAAATGGAAATACATGCCCAGCTGTACAAAACGTACTTTATATATTAATAAAAACTTAACATTCTCTAAAAACCTTCATATTCTCTAAAGCACACCTTCCAACCAAGTAATCTTTGCAACTTCAGCCAACTTCAAACATCTACTACAATCCTAAAATATCACACACAAGGCAGGCAGGAATTTGTCCAGAATTATCCTGGAGCTGAGCAACTGTTATAAGCTGGCCAAGACTGTCAAAGGCACAACAATTATTTATGTAACTATCTAAAGGTCTGGTGAAATGTAAAGGGAAGAAAACATCCTAAAAATCTTTGAGTATAGACCTGCTCATTTCCTTTTTTAATGGTGGAAGAAAGAATGGATTACCCCTTCCCAGCCAGTGCGGGGCAGATCGGGCTCTTGTAATTCGCAGCGACGTTTCCACAGCTGGTGCACCGAGTTTTAAATAAACTACCTGGAATACACGAAGAGGAAACATCAGGGATGAAGTGATGGCTCTGAGGTGTGGCTGTGCAGGCAAGTGGTTGTGTTTATCCTGGGCAGCCTTTATTTACAGACCTTGAAGGCTGCCCCTTGTGGGTAACTTACTACAGGAATGCAGCAGCAAAGACAGTCCCGCTGTGTCACCTTGTTCTGCCGCAGGACATGAGGAATACACAGTCCATAACATGTTTTGCAGGAAAATCGTAATTTAAAATATCACTGAGGGAGATTATTTCTGTTTATTGCTTTTCCTCTTACATCAGAAACATTTTCTTAAAAAAAAATATGATATGGTCAACACCATTTTGTTTGGTGCAAAACTCCACTCCCAAAACTTCTGTAGCATTACTAACATGCTGTCGAGATAGCCAATATAGCCAAGAGCTAAAAATTGTGTCCATTTTGTAAGAAATACAAATAACCAAAATTAAATTGTTGCCAAGGCTTCATCATTGGGTCCACAACTGCAAAACAGCATGTACAGGTTTCCTGTGTCCAAAGCACAAAAGTGGTGGCTGGAAATCCCATTTACACATTTAGTGCTACCTGAGTTAAAAAGCATCACAGTGTTAGAAGACCAGGATGGGTCTTTGTCCTGGGAGACTTCCACCCTGTGGCAGGGCCTGAGGAGTGGAGAAATGAGTGGGGTCACCTCCAAGGATGGAGAAGGGCTTCCACACCCTCTTTCTCTCCACACCTCTACATTTCCTCAGATCCCAAAGACCCCCAGGTGCTGCACCTGCCTTGTGCTCCTCTGGCACTTTGTGGGAGTAAGGAATGCCACTTACTACCGGGAAGAGAGGGGGAGGGCCACTGACTGCAGGAAAGAAACATAAAGGAATCTCAATTGTTTCCAGTCCCTTTGTCCTCCTGTAGCCAAGGACTGCACAAGTGAGGACAGGACAGAACAGGACAGAGGGAAATCACCAGGGCTGTTGAGGCCAGGCTTGCCTATACACCCCTTACTGAGGGAAGTCTGACACCACTGCTATCACACAGAGGAATTCTTGGGGACTCTTTTCCCCTTTTCTAAGTGAAATCAGCCAGGTGTCACAGCCACAAGAATTCAAGTGGATCTGGGGAAAACTGTGCAAGCAAGAAGGGAGAACCAGTTCCTGTGTACTGTCAGAATCCATTAAAAACAGAAAGATGAGATTCTGTGTTTCTAAAGGTAAGGAATAAAGGGAGGCTACGAAGTATCTGAAACAACATCCAAAAGAGAACAGGGTGTTATTGTAAATACCTTTATGCAAGTTATTATAATTTTAAAGACAAGATTCTTTTCTCTCTGTACTTGTCCTGCTTTCCCTTCTTCCCACTCCCCATCCGGGTTTCCTGGCCTGTGGCAGACATATAAGCCAACTCTTACCATGAATTTCTAAGAGGTGCTTGGTGCCTGCCTTCCTGT